GAGGAGATTGGGTCCTGTCTTCCTGGCTTATTTGGCCTCAATCAGGGCCTGTTTGCTTCGTCAGCATTTAGTTCTGGTGTGATTGGGGTCCTAAAGCTCTTGCTTGCTTCCTCAGGAAGCACATCAAACAGTGCCCCTGACAGCAATGGGGCCTTCCTGGGGTGCAGGGTCCACTCTGGAGGATCATTGCCTGAGCTCAGCAAGTGTGCCAGAGCCAGACATGCACTAGAACCCCACAAACTGTTCCTCCAGTGCAACATTTCCACTGTGGCAGTGCCCAGTTAGCAGCCAAGCTGATGGGAGATTCACCCTGCCTGGTATTCAATCCCCTAACTCATTTAACCTGTTTAAACTGTTCACTGGAGCTTTTTAGTCCAAAATCAATAAGCTAGAGGACAGGCCTTTTCTGTCCTCAGACCGTATGAGGGCTGGTTGGCTAGCCCCTGCTTGTGTGCAAGCACTTATCTTCTGTGTCAGCTCTCCTCAGCTCCAAACCTCCTTACTGGCTCCTGGAGTCCACCACTGCTTCACCGTGCTCTGGGAGTGATGTCCCTGTGTAAGTTTCCCCAGGCAGGGGTGGCTGGAGCTCTAGCTCCCCTGTCTCACCATGAGCGGTTAGTAAGGAGCTGTGTCAATATTTTCCTGAAGCTGCTTGAAAAGCTCCACAAGTTGCTACAACTTAAGAATGCTATATCCTGCTCAGGAGCCTGAGGCAAGAGAATTGCCTAAGCCCAGGAGTTGGAGGTTGCTGTGAGCTGGGTGACACCACAGCACTCTACTAAGGGCCATAGAGTGAGACTCTGTCTCTATAAAATAAAAAAGAATGCTACATCCTGGACACCATAACTTATACCCTATAGTTCAACAATGTACAGCTAATCACTAATGAATGTTTGGATAAATGAATGAGAATTCTTGATATTACTGGCTGGCCGCCTGTCCCTGTGTAGAGATGGGGATTAGGTTCACCGAACTTTACCGTCAGAAGGCTAGTAATTGACTGTATGGCTTCTGTGATGACCCTGCATCCTCCTTACAGATATTTCTATACCTGGAGGTCACAAGGTGACAGAGGCTGCAGTAGAGACACCTGTACCTTCCAGAGTGAAGAAGCAGCAGTCCCACCAGAGTCTTTTTAAAAAGATGCATTGGGATTGCCCTTGTGGGGCATGTCACCCACATCTCACAGCCATACCTCTGCTGCTGAGTTAACCTGGCCCTGGGAGGCATTTGTGCTTGGGCCTCCCAAATTCCAGAAAGTACCTGCAGAGCATTCGAAGCTATTTGACTTTCTCCAGGGCAACCACAGCTGTCCAGTACTCACAGAATAATTTCTAACATTTTAAGCTAGTTAAGACCTCAAGGCTATCGATGAGGTATTTATTAGGAATAAAGAAAAGGAAGATATACTTTCAGCTTAAGTCTAGAGGCAAATGTGTTTACATTCTTTTGCTTTTTAATGCCACAGCCCTCTCCACACCAGTGGGGTCTCAAACTTTAACGTGCACATGGAACGCCCAGGGATCTTGTGAAAAGGCAACTTCTGATTCAAGGAGTATGGGTTGGGTGTCTAGAAATGAGTGCTGATAACAAGCTCTCAGGTAATCCTAATGGACCTCACTTCCAATAGCTATAGATCCAAAGATCTATACAGCATTACTTCATCAACCAAAGACAAGCAGCTGGTGATACCACCTACATTCCCCTATTGCTCTCAAATGTTTGCCTTTATCTTTCTTCTAGCTAAAGTGTAAGGTTTATGCATTTTAGTGTGTTGAGATTATTGATTCTGCACGAGGGGGAGTAACCAAGTGGTATCCTTGGTTCTAGGACATCTGGCATCTCAGGATTTAGCTGAGAAATCAGGCCCAGACTGATTTGCAACCCACCCCTCTCTATGTGCACAGGTAGGTGGCTAACTTCACTCACTGAGACCCAGAGAACACGCACAATTTCCATTTCCTAAGGTCATTAGTTGTTATGAATAATGGACCATGCCCAACACAGAATCAGTTCTTAGTACGTGCTAATCATTGTGATCTTTATTTTTGTTATTATTTTTGGTGTTTATAGGCAGGCACTATCTGCCTGTATCACTGAGATCTGCTTGTTAGAGCATACAGGATCTCCCAGGAGAAACATGTCCAGCTTGGGCAGTTTACCCTGACTGCAAATCTCCTGCTACAGGCTGCCATGGGATATGAGAGTTGTTTGGCGATGGGAAACAAGGGGATAATGTGACAAAATGTTGTATTGAAGAAGGAATTTTTGATTTAAGTGCATTTTAACAAAAAAAAACTAATACTACTGAGCTGGCCTGTAGCCCTCTCCAAGGTAATGTCTCCTGGAGACATTATGTATAAATAAAATATCTCAAAATTATGAAAGCTAGACTGGTATCATTTTTTCTTATATTGGCTTAGAATACAAGGGGGTTTGGTTACAATAGAGAGTGCGGTTTCTAGGAACAAGAGCCAGGGGATCATGATAACCTGGCTGCCTTAACCTTTGTACTCCTAACTCTAAACTTGAACCCCAGATCACCTCTGACCAGAGCTATTTCAAGCCAGCATCCTCTAGGCTTGCTGTCCACTCAGCCCAGCGGCCATTTATCTCCCCTTCATCTGGTTGTTCTCCCCATTCTTCATAGCTCCCATGCCCTGGTCACCACGGACTGCCTCTTGCTGGGTACAACACAAGCACTTTGTTTGCCAGTTGACTCTGCTCTGCTTTGGGTTCAAGTCTGCAGGTCACTTTCCTCCCCTTTGGCCCTTCACTCCACTCTGCTCCCTCACATTACCCAGTACTTGGTAAAAAGCAGCCTTAATCTGAAATCAAATGCTAGAGGGGGAGGTGGTCCTGGAAGACATCCTGCATCCATGCAGACATCCTGAGAGCTCACCTGGCACATCTCAGAGGAGGATGGGGGCAGATAAGGTGCATTGGAATGAGGTGGGTACACGTTGCTTCCTTTGGTCTCAGCAAAACTAGAGGCCCTAATATGCATCTTTTATTGTTCCTGATGATGAGCTGTGGGCTTGGGATGTCAAAATAAAAAAGGAAAACCTGAGAAAGGACATGCTCATGTCCCCCTGTTACCTTTACTTACTCTGGACTTTTCTCCCATCTGTGGGCTCTCCTTCCTTCTCTCAGCCCATCTAAATCCCAGCCCCCTTCAAGGGCCACCTCACATTCCACCTCTAGAGGGGGAGGGAAGCTTCTTTCTCTGCTCCAGAAGCTTATTCCTTCCTTAGAACTCCAGCAACACTCAGAGCCAGAATTACAGGGTCCCCAAATCCCTTCATTTTTTTTTTTTCTTTTGAGACAGAGCCTCAAGCTGTCCCCCTGGGTAGAGTGCCGTAGCATTACAGCTCACAGCAACCTCCAACTCCTGGGCTCAAGCGAGTCTCCTGCCTCCGCCTCCCAAGTAGCTGGGACCACAGGCGCCTGCCACAACGCCCTGCTATTTTTTGGTTGCAGCCGTCATTGTTGTTTGGCGGGTCCGGGCTGGGGATTTGAACCCGCCACCTTAGGTGTACGTGGCTGGCGCCTTAGCCGAGCCAATCCCTTCTTTTATAAATGTTCACTCTGTGTCCAACATTCCTCCCCTAGTTCTGTGGCAAGGGCCTTAGGAGAGGGAGAAAAAGCACTGTGGGGCAACAGTGAGAACCCAGGCTTCTAGATTCTAGGATTCTAAGAGTTTAGAAGTTTAAGTTTCAGAGATCCTACAACTGTAATAGTCCACAATTCTAAATTCCTAAGATTCTGTGAGTCTATCATGTCATCAGCCTTGAGCTTTCTATGATCCTGGGTTTCAATGAAGTCCTATGCTTTGCAGTAGAGACTTACAGTCTCAAACACCTCAGGATGTGAGAACTCTCTGCCCTGTGATTGAGAGCAGGGCAGACTCAGGGTGATGACAATTTCTGAACCCATCTGGACCTAGAGCTTCTACCCTCCATAGTCTGGTCAGCACTCTCTTTACCACAGGCATTAAGGCTGAGAACCAAGACCCTCACCCCTAGGGGAGGCTCTGTAGGGTGGTTTCAGGTATCTGAGGGCCTATCTTGGGCCCCTCAGCTGCTCTGGTCTCTGCATGTTCTCCCAAACTCTGACTCCTTAGTGCTACAGGCTTCCCTCTGGATATGGACAGACCCTGCTGAGGAGGAGAGGGAGGCAGCCACATATAAAAGGTAGCACTAGGGATGGGGGGTGTTCTTGGCCACATAGTTCTGGGATCTTCCTCTCAATGTCAGAAAAGCCCAGGCCTCCTGATATCCAGAAGAGACAATGGCACAAATTTTCATGAAGGAGGGTGGAGGGAAGAGGTAGGGACAGAGCCCAGGAGGGATTTCCCAGGAGTGCCTTTGATTCTCAGCCTCAAGAAGAATGGAGTGCTTTTGATTCTCAGCCTCAAGAAGGCCAACTAGATGGTCTTCCCCTGAGGTAGACTCTCCATCCACTCTAGGAAGTGCTCACGCACTTCCCTGGCTCCTACTGGCTCCACTGCTCACCATGGAGACAGCTCCACCAATGGCCATGGCTGCTGGACCAGTGCTCCTACCCCCTGCCCCGTACAGGTGTACAGCAGCTGGCAAACTGCTGTACCCATGGGGCATGGGGAGAGGACTGTGAAGGCTGCATACGGGGAAGGTGACTAAATATCCATGGGCTCTGCTTCCTTGGTGGGATTGCTCTACTTTTCTAGCTCTGGAAAGGAGAGAGATGCTGGGGTATAAGGAGAAGGGGGAGGAAGGGGAAAGAGGGGATATATATGTATATTTATATGTGTAGATCTCTACCTATCTATGTGTAAGACAGAGAGACATTGCAAAGAGACAAAAGCACACATAGAGAAACAGACAGACATACACCAGATTCAGCACATGGTGGAGGGGGACAGTCAGACAGACACACTCCAGAGCCTCTACCTTCAACCCAGACCACTGTAGGCAGAGTTCTCAGGGGCGCTGTGCTGGAGGCATGAAGCCAAGTCTTACCTGAATCCTTTGTCCAGGGGGATGCACTTGGCCTCATGCTGACAGAGGTTCATTTCGGGCACACAGTGGTCAATCACCTCATCGCATAGCTCACCTGGTGGGGATGAAGTAGAGGTATCAGGCCTCAGAGAGGGTCCTGAGGGGACATGCTGGCCAAAAGATCAGATTCATCTAGCCTGAGTCAGGAGGTCAGGAGGTCATGGATGTCAGGGCAGGGCCTTCTCTGTCTCTGCAGAGGGTTTCTATCGTGCCTCTCCCTGCTGCCCTCAGCACTGACCGTGGGGAGACGGCAGCATTTTTCCTGGGCATTGTCATAGCACCTTCATTTGGTTGTTTCACTTGATCTTTCAGGGGTACCTGCAGCTGAAAGCACAGGATGCCAGACCCTGACCTTGGGCTGAGCTGATTAATTTGATTTTTCATTCCACACCTAGTGAATGAGTACCTTCAAAGTGACAGGCATTGTGTCAGGTGCTGGGGACACAGTGGTGACCCAGACCTGTCCTCCCCCACAGCCTAGTCAGGAGACCTACAAGGGAGCAGTCAGTGCAACACAGAGTTGCAAGTGCAGCCACAGGCCGCTGCCCCAGGAGGTCAGGGGAGGCTTCCGGACACAGCACAGCGTAGCTGCACAGTTCACCTGCTATAGATAAGTAGGCCCTTTGGATTTTTCAGGGAAGGAAATATGAAAGGAATTTGAAGTGATTACTCTGCCTCTGAAGTGCTACAAGATGCCTAGTGGGTCATAAATACCCACGGATGGTCCTCACAGATAAGCCCCCAATGCTCACACCACCTGAAAATCTGGGCTGTGCGGGAGGCAAGACCAGATTTTACTGTCTGAATTTTGAGTCTTCTCAAATTCTACCCAGTCAAGCCAGGTGGAGCAAGATCCAAGGTGGGGGCAGCTGGAGAAGGCTGAGGACAAGCTGGGGAGAAATGAATGACACACAGCTGGTGAGTCTGTTCACTGTGGTGGTGGGGACGAGCTGACCCCTACCCTGGCCTAGGAAGGGACTATGAACCTCTCCTCTCTACATTCTACGCTTGCCCTCTCAGGACCACAGAGGGCACCTTGTTCTCGTAATCCTCCTCCTCTCTTCGGCACCTGGAGAGACCTGGAGAGGCGGACAAGTGTCTTTGTAGGACCACCAAGCCCCACACTCTCAGCAACAAAGTGCAACAAATCAGAAGTGCGGCCTGCTTAGCTGTGGACACCGGGCAGGCCTCACTGGGGCAGGAAGGATTCTCCTACACGGTCTCCCCAGCTCTCTTCCCTCTGCCCCTCTGCTTCCTGTAAATTCAGCTGAAGCCCCTGCTTTGCCACAAAGCCTATTCTGAGCCCCTCTGTCCTCTCCTCTACTGCTGGGATTTTCATTCTCTCTTTGCAGACACTAAGCAGATTCTCCTTGACCAATGACTTAACTCTATACAGTGATTCCTTTCAGGTAGGCCGGAAGCCCTTTGTGAGCTGAGCACATACCTTGGACTTCCCAGGCTCTCTAGCGGCTAATTCAGTGTCCTGCTACAGTAAGTACTGCCTGCTGCTGCCGCAATTCTAAACTGCAACTCCATTCTTAGAAGATACAGGGGACAAAGGAGGTTGACCCTGTGCCAATTTAATCTCAGCAGGAAGGCTTGTCTGAGGTCCCAAGAGGCCCAGAACTAATGGAGTAGGTGGCCATGGCACATTTGGAGGCTTGAGAAAGGTACAGGCTCTGAGAGGCCACAGGGGCCACCCAGCTTCCTTCTCTGCAATGCCAGGGACTGCTTCTCTTCGTCTTCCTCTGTGTTCCCACCTCCCACTTTGCTTTTGACACCAAGCCAGGTTCCAGTGGGCTGGGGTGGGAGTCCCTGAGCCGCCTCCATCCTCATTTTCTCCTTGCCTTAGGCCAGCACTTCCTAAAATAGGTTCCCTGCCACAGAAGGCCTCTGGGTTGGGAAGGGTGTTCCAGAGGGGAGTAAGAGGGAGCTCCAAGATAAAATATATTTGAGACTTGCTAGGTTAAACCAACTTACACAGTTTTCTTTGAAGCAGGAATTTCTAGGACCTCCACTATGTAATTTGTGTCACGGAGCGCCAAGAACAGGGTTATTATTATATGAAGTACTTCCCAAACTTCTTTGCCCATGGGGCCTTTTCCTCCAATAACTCATGAAATTTATGAAATTCCAGTCTGGGATATGCCGCTTCAGGTTGGTTTCCTAACAGAGTAGGCTGTGTCTGCCCCAGTTGCTGGTATTTTGCTTCACAATCTAATGGCATATTTAACTGTCTTTATTAGGAGCTGTTAATGCTGGAAATAAAGGTATGTTGTTTTGGGAATGGGAGGCCAGAATGATTTTCTGAGGAATAACCTTTTGTAGAGAGACTTCCATACTCTCCAGCTGGGCTAGGTTCTTCCTCTGGGATCTCACCCCCCGAACCCCCAGACTTCCAGGTGTTATGTTCTCATTCTATGGAACCCATGGTCTGACTCTACTTGACTTTGAGCTTCTTAAGAGAAGGAACTTTGTCTTGTTCATTTTTGTATCCCCAGCATCTGGAAAATGCAGATTTCCAGAGACAGTTCCTAGACCTGAACAAAGCATAAACACAATGCAAGTGGCTCTCTGCTGGCCGCAAACACCACTGGGTCTCTAGGGGCCCTGAAGGAGGGGATGGCCATTGACTGAATGAATGGATGCTGGCAAGCTCTGGGGACTGGTTTCAAAGCGGGAAGGGGCTAGTGATCTTCTGGCTGCTGGCAGGGGAGTGGTAGGGACAGGCAAGCTAATAGACAGGGACTTTGGGCAGCTCCTCATGGCACAGAAGGTTCTTGGGATCTGAGCCTCTGTCCACAGGGAGAAGGCAGGTGGGGCCCCTGGAAGAAGCTAAGAAAATGGCACTACTCACCCCCCCATGTGTATTCTCATGTATCATGAGATCCTCACCTGTGTAGTTAGGTGGGCAGACACACACATAGTTGTTGATCCCGTCCACGCAGGTGGCATTGTTTTCACAGTCATTGTCCTCACAGTCATCTGGGTTGATCTCACACCGCTGTCCCTCGAAGCCCAGAGGGCAGGAGCAGCTTTGGGGACATGCATGATGGGGAGGAGGGGAGCCAGGAGTCAGGTAGCAGGGTGGGTCGGGGTGGCAGAGAGGAAGGGCAGGCAGACAATTAGCCAGGTTTCTCCTCTGGATGGAAGTCTGAGTCAGCACTTTGGACACATGAAGGCTTAGGGACCTGGCAGGAAGACCCTTAGGAGCCTGAGAGGTCATTCATCAGCCCTCCATGTCCAGCCAACACTCTGCCTGGCCCTCCACCAAAGCCACTCTTACCATTCCCCAGCTGGAAGTGGTTTTCTGGATATGGTTAAACTCCTTCAGCTGTCTTCTACCCTCCCGTCTTTGTAGACAAAGATCGTGTGATAAACATCCTCCTTTAAGTGATATTTTCACTCTAAGTCAGGCTTTCTATCTCCAGGAGTTGGGGAGGCATGGCATGGTGGCCAAGATCCCGGACTCTGCACCAGGTTTCCTGGGAAGGAATTCTGGTCTGGTGCTGTCCTGCTTTTGGCCTTGGGTGGTTGTGGAAATTAAATGAGATTTCATGAGCAAAACACTCAGAAGGGTACACAGCACATGGAAAACACTCCCAAGTGCTTAGCCTGTCTTAGTTCTACAAAACCACCCCACCTCCTAACCTTCCTTCAGGACCTCGCTTCTCCCTGTTGTGTGGCCCTACCACTTCTCAGCCTCCTCCAGCTTCTGGGGGATGAGGGGATAGAGGGGGATGGCAGCCCTCTCTCCTGCCAAGACTGAGGCTTTTGAGTGAATTTGGCTTTAAGCACCATAAGTCAGCATGACCCATTTCTGTCACTTGTCTCTGGAGAGTTAAATCTCCTGGATAAAAATCTCAACTTCCCTGCCTACCCCGGTCATGTCCCTAGGACCAGGCAGGCAGGATGAGTCAGAACAGATAATGGCTGGGCTGGGGAGGGGTGGGAAGTGAGTGTCTGACTGAATAGACACAACCATGGATCTTGCTTGGCAGGGATTACACTCCATCCCTGGGAGTGTGCTCCAGCTTCTGACCTGGAAATCCAGGCCTCCTCTACAGAGACTGCTGTGATTTGGGGTTTAGCTTCAAAAAGTAAAGCAGACTAAACTAACAGGATATTCATGGGGTCCTAAAATCCTCACAGCCCCCTTTCCTCTGCAGCCTGAAGACCTTGAACATTGGCTACAAAAGGCCAGGGGCTTCCTGAGTCTGAGCTCATGAGGTACTCAGCAAGAGGGCTGTTACTTTTTTCTGTTGGAGACCCGGGAGTTCATCAAAAAGGCCAGGCAGGGGGTAGGTTTCCAAAAGTCTTAAGACCTAAAGGTTGCCCCTTTGTTTTCCTGAAGACCAGCTGCTCTGAGTCTCGGGACTACCGGGCAGTGGAGTGTGGTGACTGGGGAGGGGAGCAGGGCGTTTGGATGGAGTGAACAGAGCATGAGAGGAAGCTCAAGTCTCCCAGTCCTCACGGGAAACCCTGGGGATCTGTGGAGGAATGAGTGAGCTGTGGGGACCAGGACAGGTCCCATCTCTTGTCCTGGCCCCTGTGTGGTCAGCCCCACCTGCCTTTCCTGTTTTTGTGAGCGGGCAATGAAGCAAGATTAGGGAAGTGCCTACAGAAAGAGGCTGGTGATGCTCCAGAATTCCGGTGATGAGGAGGAGAATTGTGTTATCTGGGAGGCTGGGACAGGTAGATTGCCTAAGTGCAGGAGTTCAAGACCAGCCTGAGCAAGAGAGAAACCTCATCTCTAAAAACAGAAAAAACTAGCCAGTCGCTATGGCGGGTACCTATAGTCCCAGCCACTTGGGAGGCTGGGCAAGAGGATTGCATATGCCCAAGAATTTGAAGTTGCTGTGAGCTATGATATGGCACTCTACCCAGGGTGACAGAGTGAGACTGTCTCAAAAAAAAAAAAAAAAGAATTTCTAAAAATACATGTAGTTCATTTGAAACTCCCCAAAGACTGAGGATGGGAAGGAGATACTTCTGCTCACTCACACCTCAGGCTGAGATGGGAGAAACTCAACCCCCAGCAGGGGAAGCTCTTCCCTGCCCCAATCCCCCACTGCCTCCCCCCCACACTTGGGTGGGGCAGAGCCAGGCTCTCAGCCGTGGAGGCGTGTTTCCTGGCTGGGACCCCGTGGCCACTGCTGTGAGATAGATTTCCCTGCTCTGCATGAGTGGGCGGGAGTGGGTGGTTTGGCTGCCTCCAGGCAGGAAAAGGAACTTTGCCTTGAATTTTACTTTTCAAGAGTCAGAGTTTGATGGGGTTGGCTTGGCAGGTGGACATGTGGGCGGGCTGGGTTCCCCAGGGAGGGAAACTGGGAGCCCAGAATTTGATTTCTTTCACAGACCACACAGCAGCCTCTGGCTGGTGTGCTTTTGATAATTAACGGTTCGCAACCTGAGCTCTAAGAGTCGGCACATGGCTCAGCATTGGGCGGCCCCAGCCTTTATTGCTGAGTGGCTGCCACCTAACCCACAGGCTCATTAGAGGTGCCAAAGAAGCCTGCTCCCAACAGTCGGCTCCTGGCAGGACCAAAGGCCAGGAAACTGGGCATCTGAAAGTTTCTGGAGAAGATGTGAAGCAGGAATGGGCCTGAGGTTTGGGCTGAGGACAGGGATGAGAAAAGTTTAAGTGGCTTCTGTCCTCGGTTCTCCTGAAATCTTAATGGTGGGGGGAGCAGGGGCGGGGCCGGAAGATCCAAGAACGAGTGTCAGCATTTGCAACCTAGAGCAAAACAATCCCTGCACCTCAGTTACCTCATCTGTTCAATGGGGGTAATACAATGCCCACTTGGCAGACAGGGATGTCAGAGGATTTAAATCAGGTGAGGCATGACTAGTCAGTACCTGCACCTAGTGAGCATAAAATCAATGTCATCTACGATTGTTGTTATTTATAACATGGAAGAGTGATGGAGCACCGGGCTGGCGGTGTCGCCAGCACCCTGCCCGTCTCAGGCTTCAGCCAGCTGCTGCAGCCTCCCTTGGAGGAGATGGGAGGTTGGTGTCTAGATTCAAATCCCTGCGCCGATTCTTACTGGGCAATTCTGGGCAAAGGGTTTGTCCTCTGATGCTTCAATTTCTCTATCGTACAGGAAGTCCAATCGTACTTCCCATGCAGAGGTTGTGCTCCTAAGGGGCTGCGAGGCAGAAAGCAGCCCTCAGGGGACGCAGCTCTGCTTCCTCAGCCTGCCCTGGGGAGTCTTCCTGTGAAGCCCTCTGAGGTGGGGTGAGCTGTTACCTGAACCCATCCTTGTGGCTGTCACTCAGGTGACAGGTGCCTCCATGCTGACAGGGGTTCTGGATGCAGGTGTTGATGGGCACGGTGCAGTCCTTCCCCTGAGGAGCAGAACAGGGAGAAGGGCCTGGTTAGGGAGGCCTTCAGTGGCTGCCATGGTCAAGGAGACCCCAGGAGTGCCCGGTGTCTCCTGGGATGAAACTGAGGAGGTGGCTAGGAAGAGGCCCCAGGACAAGCCTGCTGTGTAAATCAGGCCAAGCCAAAGGGAGCCTGGTCTGTAGTCACCCCATAGTGAGATGGTGAGGACTGCCGAGAACCCGAGGTTTCTGGCTCCAGCCCCACTACTTCCCAGAATTCGCACCCTCCTCTATCCCAAACTACAGGCAAGAGCATGGGCTTTGGACTCAGGCAAACCCGGTTTCACATTCTAGTTCCATCTCTTTTGAGTTGGTTGACCATGACCTTGCCAAAGCCTTTTCACCTCTCTAAGCCTACTTCACGGGGTTGCAACGATAATTAAACTAGAGGTTTCATTTTTCCCACTCATGTAGTCTGTATACAGTTGTCCCCTCCAAATATCATCATTGAAATTTAATCCCACGTGGTGGAGGTGGGGCCTTGTGGGATGTATTTGGGTCATGGGGCCAGATCTCTCATGCATGGCTTGGTGACGTCCTCCTTGAGGTAAGAGTGAGCTCTCACTCTATCAGTTCCCAAAAGAGCTCATTGTTGAGAAGAGCCCAGCACCTATCCCCACTCCCTGCTTTCTGTCCCGCCATGTGACATTGCTCCCCTTCACCTTCCACCACGAGGGGAAATTTTTTGAGGCCCTCACTGGAATTAGATGCTAGTACCATGCTTCTTGTACAGACTGCAGAACCATGAACCAAACAAGCCTCTTTTCTGTATAAATTACTCAGCTTGTGGATTCATTTACAGCAACATAAGCAGACTAAGGCACCCACCCAGCACACAGAAGGCCTTCTGTAGGTGCTAGCAGATGACCTTACTATTAGCCTCCCTGAAGATTAACTATAATCCATGGCTCGAGTGGGGTGGACTAAGGCTGATGTGTGGCCAGCAGACCTTGTCTCCCTCACAGTGACAGCCCCCAGAGATTGACCCTTGATTAGTTTGGAGTGGGTCCAGGCATTGGTATTTATTCTCAAGATCTGCAGGTCAGTCCCACATTAGGCCAGGTTGAGACCCCCTGTGATAGAAAGTCTGGGATGGGATGGAGTTCATTTGGAGCTGTACCCTGGGGAAGGGGACATGTGAGCTGAGAAGGGGCAGCCTTTTCAGGTTCGTGGGGAGAAGCACACCAGGCAGAATGAATGGCCAGGGTAAGGGCACTGAGGCAGGTGGCCCCAGGACAGAGACTGGAAGACCTGGTGTCCCAGGGAGCAGCCCAATTCCTCTTGGCCTTCTGGCTCCTGCTTCTCCTCTGGGACTGGTGGGCCAAGGCTGTACCCATGGCTTGGCAAGCAGCCCCTTTCAGGACCTGGTAGTGTGGGGTCTGGAGAAGTGTTTGCTGTGTTCGTTTCTGGGCCCTGGGTTCAGGGCCAGGTGGGGGTGATCATGGGAGCCCGCCCACTGTCACACCACCTGGTGGCCATCTGCCTGAGAAAACCCTCTTCCCTATTGTGCTGCTGCCAGGGCCTATAAAGGAATGGGACTGGGGCTTCCTGGCTGCCATGGCGCTGCCAACTGTGCTCGGGGCCTTGGGCACAGGGCAGCCTCTGCTGCGGACTCTCTGAGATGCCAGAGCCTCAGGCCCTGTCTCCAGCAGCCGGAAGGCAGGGGCCCTGTCTGTCTGGTTCTGCTCACGTTCTGTCACAGAGGGGCCAGTGAGAGGTTTCTCAGAGGGTAGGGAGAGAGTGCGGCTTGGCATGGTACCCAGGTTTCTCCTAAACCAGAGCAACACAGGGTCGCCTTCTGAGAGTCAGCGCATGGAGTGGAAACTGCGGTGCTAATTCTCACTCACCTTATTGAGCACATTTTCCATTCCAGGCTGCATGCTAAGTGTTTTATATTCACGCTCGCAGAGAATGTTCACAACAACCCTATGAGGTCGGTACAATTGTTATTACACTCGTTTTCCCAGACAGGGCAGACAGACTTAGAAAGTGAGGTAATATGTCCAAGATCACCCAGTGCCAACTGTCTGAACACAGACACCCGCGTCCCAAGCGGGCACCGGAGCCTGCACGGTGTGCCACTTGGCCTGCCTCTCCCCCTGCTCGGCTTTGTAGGCAGCAGAGCGGGGTGCAAATTCTAGTGAGGCTGCTGTGTGCCTTGAGGAAATGGCTCTCTGAGCCCTATTTTCAGTCTATGAAATGGGAATAATTGTACCTAGCCTATGGGGAATCAACTAGTGATTAGAAATCACACAAATGTAAGGCACCTAGTGTGTAACGGCAGCGCCATCAGTAACAGAGATGGCAACGGTGATAATGATGACGGACACTGATGACCCGGACCTGAGGCAGGGCTGAATGTGCCTGATTAAAATACGTTTTCAGGTCTTTGGTTTATGCCAAATAGTGCAAGAGGTACGTTTGCATAGGGGGATGGTGGTAGGCAGAGAGACTGAGGGAAGGACCAGATAACCTTGAGAAGTTTAAGGCAGGGCCTCCCTCACCCCTGCCTGTGCCAGCCTCTCTGCTCTGGGGAACTTGCAAGTACTAGGACTCCTGACGGATGGGTAGGGGTGGAGGTGGCCACGTCTCCTCCTGTCTTTTATGCCAAGCACAGAAATCCAGAAAGCAGATCCTAGTGCTTGATGACATGGTAATTGGGCCTGGAGGTGGGATTTCTGTGACTTATATGTCCTTGAGAAATAATCACCATTGCCCATGCTTGGCTAATTAGCCTGATTCAATTCTCTTCAGCCTCATTTTGCTTAAACCCACCAGATTTATAATCTCCTAGGTCCTCACCACACTTTCCACTCCCCACCCCACCCACCTCATCTGTGTGTGTGTGTGTGTGTGTGTATGCGTGCACACACAGAGAACGTGACTGGGCCTTTAAAAGACACTGGGAACAGCTACCCTCACTAGAAACTTTCTGACATGGGGCCAGGAGAGCTCTTCTAAGACCTTGCAAAGTGTGGTTCTTGGACTAATGGTATTGCCACCCCTGGAAGTTGGTTAATATATGTGCTAAATATATATATATATTTTTTTTTTGATCTTCTGACTCAGAACCTGCATTTTAATCAGATCTTCAGGTGATTCTGGAGCATGTTAAAGTTAGAGAAGCACTGTTTTGAGATACTGAACATATGTGCATAAAACTAAATGGCTGAAAAAGAATCAGCCAATAGATAACATTTTATTTCCCCAGATCTTAAAATAGCAGCAAAATAATTGCCCTTTATGAAGTAACTACTGAATCCTGGCACTGAGGCAGGCAAAGTGCACACATAACCCTTTGTAGCCTTACAAAAGCTGTTCAGGTGAGTATGATTATTGTCATTTACAAGTGGGGAAGAGGAGGGTTGGTTCTGACTCATGAAGTGGGTAAGGGTATACTATACACTATCTTGCAAGAGATAGCTGGGTTCTGGTTTCAGCTCATGTATTTCCTAATGGGAGAGCATGGCTAACTTATTTGATCTTAGTTCTTTTAAGCGAAAGAGGATAGTAAAACTTATTTCATGGGCTGATTAAGAGTACACCATAAGATAATGCATTTGAACTGCTTCACAAAGGCCTGGCATGATAGGAGATTAACAGTGGCTGCTATCAAACATTAAACAGTGGCAGCAATGCTGTTTTGTAATATTGTGGTTTTCCAAGGTCACTCAGGCAGTTGATGGAAAAACTGAGATATCTGGAAACAGGCAGACAAACAGCTCAAATTTGAGCTTGGTTTTGTGGGTGTCTGGGGATTGTGGTGGCTCTGCTTGGGTGGGCTCTAACCTTGGTCAGGAGGGACAGACTCAGCACAGGCAGTGTGAGGTAGTGTGGCCCACAGCTAAAGGACCCCTCTCATTCAACCCCATTTTACAGTTGAGGAAACTGAGGTGAGGAGAAGAGTGGGAGCTGTCCAAGGCCATCCATCAGCTAGGCATAGGCTCCCAAGGGTCCTGCTTGGTGTTCTTTCTTCTGCCACACTCTGCTCTTTTCTACCTTGGAAATTGAGACAGATCCTAAATGGTTAGGGGTCCTCACCCTCAGTACCCACAATCACAGTGCTTGCCAATGGGCAGAGAAGGCAGTGGCCAAGAGTTCTGGAATCAGTTGGGTCCCAAAGCCTTTACCCACTGGGCTCAGTTTCTTCAACTGTAAAATGAGGGTTGGTTTAGAAATTGTATCCCAGGGCTTTGATGAGGAGTATGCAAAAAAAAAAAAATATGCACTGTGTACTGCATTTAGTGTACTGTCAGTACATAGTAGGCACTCAATAAATGCTGGCTTTTAATATTGTTGTTACAGTTATTATCATCAGCATCACCATCAGCACCACATACCCAAGACCTGCCTGGGCCCATCAGCTTCCTAAAGATCAAAGTCACCACTGAAGTTCTTCTGAAATTGACAAGATGGTCAGAATCCTGGGAGCAAAGTTTAACAAATGGCCCTATCCTTGCAGTTGCCCCAAAGATGCTGTCTTTGCTCTCACCATGAGGGCCAGGCTATGTTTCATAGTGTGGTCAAGCTTAGCTGGGAGAGGTCTAGATTTCAAACTCAGCTCTACTATTCTCAGATCCAGGCCAATTTTAAAGAGAGAGAAGTGAGATTCAGAATGTGAAATAGTTTACCTTGTCTTTAAAATAAGCATGGTACTAGCCACCTGATAAGGTGATTATAAAAATTAGAAGAGGCGGCCGGGTACAGTGGCTCATGCCTGTAATCCTAGCACTCTGGGAGGCCAAGGAGGGTGGATTGCTTGAGTTCAGGAGTTTGAAAGCATCCTGAGCAATGGCGAGATCCCGTCTCTACTAAAAGTAGGGAAACTAGCCCAGCATTGAGGTGCATGCCTGTAGTGCCAGCTGCTTGGGAGGCTGAGGCAAGAGAATCGCTTGAACCCTGGAGTTTGAGATTGTTGTCAGGTACGATGCCACAGCACTCTAGCCTGGAGCAAGAGAGTGGGAATTTGTCTCTTAAAAAAAAAAATAGAGGAAGGAATAAATTCCTAAGGTCCAAATGAGTAGCTGGCTCTTACTTGGTGATTATGAAGAGAATTGTACATCTATGGAATTGGGGATGTTATCAATTCAGATGTCCCACTTTCTAGGAGAATGAAGTTCCTCCACAGTTCATAGTGTCATAGACTGCTAATTGCTAATGAAACCAGCAACATACCATCTGCTACTGATGGCCTCATCTACACCCTGGTATGAGGGACCAGCACACAGGGGTGACAGTAAAAGGCAGCAGCATGCTAGCGTATTGGGAGCTTATTCAATGCCAGGTATTGTCCCAGGAGTGTTGCATACTCTATCATACACGTGATTCCCACAGCAAACCTGTGAACGGGACCTAAACATAGATGGGAAGGCTTAGGTGGTTACCGGCCTTGCCACACAGCTAGTGAATGACAGAGCTGGAGCCACTGCTGATCTGAAATAGCTCGAGTTTTCTCCACTGAATCCACACAAGGGACTTTCAGAGGATTCATACCTCCTAAGTATGCCTGCTCGTCATCTCTTCTCTTGCTAATAATAGTGTGTGTGTGTGGGGTACATGGGTCTGACTCTGTGATGAATTTGAGGCTTTGGGGGTGGCTGGATTCAAAGGGAACTCGCTTGTCCCAGGCCCATAGGTGGCACTCTGACACTATCTGCTAGAAGCACCACTACAATTAAGACACCAGGTAGCCTTGTTTCCCAGAGCAAGCCTGTCCCTACACATATACTATCCCACTGAGGACAGAGACCCAGACATGCCAATCTCACTCAGCCTGCACGAGGTGTGTGCACCGGGCAAGCTGCAGGCTGTAATGAAATTCTGGGCTTGCCAGTGCATTCAGGTGGGTGCCCCGGAAGGCTGGAGCCTCGCAGGGTCCACAGCTTTGCTGATCCCAGGGAAGCATAGTGAGAGCCTCAGCTATCCAGGAAACTCTCCAGGGGAAAGAGCTTGGGCTGTGAAATCATATGGCCCTAGTGGTTAATCACAACAGTACTGCTCACAAGCTTTGGACATTGAAGCCTCCCTAACAGTCGGAAGCCCAGTTTTCACATTGGTAAAATGGGAATTAATGAGACCTTCTTTATAGGCTTCCCACAGTGTTTAAAAAGAAAAGGTGAGTAAAATGCTGAGCAGAATGCTTGGCACATAACCTGTGCCCCGTATGTTTCAGGAGGGAGACACACCGTCTGTACTCCAGGGGAGAATATGCACATACTCTAGAGGTGTCAGAAGGGGGTGTCAGAAGGGGGGCAGGACGAAGTGCTCTGGATGGTTCTGGGTGAGAAGAGAGGAAGGACTGTCTTGGAATTAGCCTGAATTTCTGGGGAGGACAGAGGGGAGGCCATCTTCTCACTGGCTAACCCACAACAGTGCGGTGGGTTTGCCAGCCCCCAGGCTTTTCAATCCTCCGTCCCTGTATCTTCCACAAGCTGGAACCAGCACATTTGGGGCTGGCATTCTAAGGGCAAGGTTGTGGGGCAGTGGTCCTGGAAATCCCCTTAGAATTGAAGTCAGGATTGTGGGTTCAAGGGATGCCTCTGCTTGGAAGCAGTTTAACTCTCTCTCTCTGATACTTAATTTCCCCATGTTTCATAAGGGAAATACAAATGTTTCTTTTCCTCCTTATCTCAGGCATCATTGTTAAATTACCTGGGTTAATCTCTGATTGGTCTAACAGTGATGTGACCAGGCAGCACCTGCCAGTTCTGAGAACAGGAGTGTTACTGGAGAGGGCCATTTTGTGGTACCGTGGTCATCCAGGTTGCCCTTGGAGAAGGAAAGGTGGCACAGGGCACGGTGCCCCTCCTTGGGGCATGAAAGAAGGGGGTGGGGCCTCTTGCCATACCTTGTAGCTGTAGGGGCAGGTGCAACGGTACAGCTCCACAGGATCTGGGCTGCAGGTCCCGTTGTTCTTGCATGGGCCAGAAAGGCAGGCATTGCATTTGGCCACGATGTTGATGTCCACTGGCCCTGGGCAACAAAACCACAGAATACTGATAGCAGGTTCCAAATGCACTCACAATCACACCTCCCACCCTTCACTCCTCTGCCCTGGTTCCTTCCTCAGCCAGCTGCCAGCCCCTACCTATCTCCAGACCCAGATGGTAGCTTGCTCTCCCCAGCCAGCACATCTAGTCCAGCAAGAGTCCCATTAATCTAGCCATTGTCCAGTGAGGAAAAATCAGTGGGACATCATTCAGAAGTACTTCTGCAGTCAAATCAATTACTGTAATTAGCCTGATCCGATTTTGGTGCTAATCTGCAAACAATGCACCATAATTAGAAACCCCCTGTGTATCTTTTCATATTCCAGGAAGCTCTGAGTCCAGGCTCCATTTGGACCGCCCATTTCTCCAAGCACCCCTTCCATGGAATAGTGTATGCCGGGCTAAGGAGGGCATAAGGCTTGGTCCAAAGGCATACACAGAAGTCCTCCCTGCGACACCCTGCAGGTAAGAAATGAACAGAGGACACAGCAGAGATGCTGCTGATGGATGGCAAGCTGTGCTCAGGGACACTTGCATCCGTGACAGTTCAACTGCTTTCTTTAGCTGTGCGGGCTGGTGGGAGGTCATGGTTACCACACAGAGTTTTGCAAAGGGAGCTCTGTCCTGCTGCTGCACCCAGCTTTGACAATGACACCCAGACCAGAATAAACAGGCCTTACTTAACATCAGACCTGTAAATGATCCTGAGACAAACAGTCACCCACTCAGAGACGGGTTGAGATTAATTCTAGCAAGTGACCATTTGTGGGTTGGTGAACAGCATGACCTGATGGAGAGCCTATACCAGGGACTCAACTCTGGGTCCACATTAGAAGAGGGAGACAATCTGTCTCGGTCTGCGTGGGCACACGGCTTTCAGGGCTAAAACCAGCAAGGTCCAGACAAACCGGGATAAGTTAGTCATGTTATACCAGAGCCAGCTGTGGTGCATTCAACACCCCACACACCCAAGTTGACCCAAGTTGTACCCCAGGTCAATTTAATCAGAATCTAGAAGGTGGACCCAGGCATCAGTAACTTTTGAAGATCCTGAGGTGATTTCCAAAATATGCATCTAAGATTGCAATCCAAGCTATTCTAAGACTAGGTGGGCCTTTTTAGAATCAGATTAGATAACTTAGTAGCAGGAGAAGGAAAATTAAAATTAGCTTTAAACCAATGGAATGCTTTTCTGCTTGCAGCAGAACTCACATTTTAATCAAAATTAACATTAAGGCTCTAAGAGTCAAGCAACAGACATTAACAGAAAAACGTGTCACACCAATGAAAAGTACTATATTTTGCTGTGTATAATGCACATTTTTTGGCCCAAACTTTTGAGGGATAAAAGAAGAATCTCATTATACATGTGTAGTATGGCTCAGGAGAGGGAGCCCAGTGGGCCTCCTGGGGCCTCAGGGCCCTCCTGTCAGGGCCTGCCTGGTGCATGGGGTTCCAGTCTGGGAAGATCTGGGATCCAGTGGGAGCAGGACAGAGCAGCCTCTGCCGACCACAGGCTGACCACTTTGATCAGGGGTTGGTAGTAGGGCTGGCACCGTGAGCTGTGCCCGTGCCATGTGAGGCCTGAGGCCACTCAGCCTGGCTGTGCAGAGGGGACTGGAGCCCTGCACAGGCTCCAGGAATCTACCCATACCTATGGGCTGAGTGGCCTCGGAAGCTTCCTCCCTGCCACCACATGTGGTGTGGCCATCTCAGCTCTGGGAGAGAGGGAAACACCAGCCTTTGCAGAACTGGTGGCTGCATGAGGGCAGTGCAATCTACACATTTACCAGGAGAGTGTTAACCCTCCCTAGATGTGTCTCTCCTGGTTGAGATCTGGCTACTTCTTCACGTGGTGTTTTACTGAAAGACTGGGCCAAAAATGTGGGTGAACATTGTACATGGAAGCACATTATACACAGTAAAATACAGTAAATGTTTAACAACATAATTAAGGACAAAATAAAAGAAGATTTATTTAATCTATTGAATTAGCGATGATTACAAAACAAGATAAAACAATGACAGAGTCTAATGAAAAAGGTGCTTAAAAGGTGCCATTGGGAATCTAAGTTGGTTATAACCCTTTTTTGGAAATCAATTTGGCAATATGTGTGAAGACCTTAACAATTTCCCTGAATCTTATCTAAGGACATGATTTCAAATAGAGAAAAATCTTTATGCATCAATGGTAAGAATAAAAAGGAAATATTCTAAAGATTCAAAAGCAGAAACTGATTAAATCAGTTGTGGAATATTATAGCCTGTGGTTAAGATTGTGCATTGTGGAATCAGAAAGGCCTTGAATCTTTCCAACAGTGTAAAGAAGTCATTTAACCTGATTAAGGCCCAGTTTTCTCACTTTTAAAGATGAAGGTAATATTACAATCTATTCTCCATCGGTATTACAGAGTAAAAGAAAGTAACACATGAATAAATGTTACAAGCGCTTACCATCATTCCTGTCACGTAAGAACGCAGAGTATTGGTATAATAATGATGCAGTTAATAAAAATCACAGGTACAAAAAGTTTTTTGCAGCAAAATGGGAAAATGCTTATGCTCTGATAATGTTGGGTGAAAAATGTAGCTTAAAGATTTTCGTACCCATGGGAAGCTGTGCATAGACAGGAGGCAGTGAGGAGGTGTGTAGGGATGCTGGCAGAGGGACTGGTGGGAGAGGGACACCTGGACTCTTAGATGTGGGTCCACATCGCTCTCAGCATCACAGTCTCTTTGTGCGACCCTTGGAAGAGACAGGATGATGGTTTTAAAAGCCATATTTGCTGAGATGCTTGACTCTGAGAGACTGTTGAAGACAGAGCAGATCCCACAAGGGGCAGAGAAAGGTCGGGGGGGGGGCAGCACCTACCTTTGCACTGAAATCGGTGGGTGGGGGTGGTGAGCAGGAGCCTGTCAGCCATGGGCTCAGGGCTACTGCAGCGGGCAATGCCCGGCTCCTTGTACCCCGCCTTCACCCACTCCGACAGCCACCGCAGACTGCAGTCACAGTGGAGGGGGTTAGTTCCCAGAGCCCTAGGAGGCAGAACAGAAGTCAGTGCCCCCGCCCAGCTTGACTCCTAGGCTCACATTTCCAGACTTTGGCCAGGCTGGGGGGTCTCACATGGGGCTCAGAGGAGTCGTCTCCAGTGGGGAAAGGTCCATGTCTCCCGAGTACATGTCCAATCTTGCAGATGCATCAACTCTCACCAAGCCCCTCCCACTGCACAGGCTTGGCTCTCACCTACCCTGGTAAAAGTCAATCCTTAACCCCATCCCACCCCTCCTGTGGGGCTTCCTAGACTTCCGGCCGTCTGATTGTCTAGCTCTTGTGCCCAATTGAAGTGTCTATGGGAGACGTACTCTGCAGAGAAGGCAGGCTCTGGTACCCAGCAGCCTAGGAGGCAGCTTCAAAGCACTCAGCTTGAAACTGCAGGGGAGGAAGGGCAAGTCCAGTGCAGACATCTCCAAACTGATGTCTAGAAGGAAAATACTAGAACCTCTGTTTTCTTTTCTTTTTTCTTTTTTTTTGAGACAGAGCCTCAAGCTGTCCCCCTGGGTAGAGTGCCGTGGCATCACAGCTCACAGCAACCTCCAACTCCTGAGCTCAAGCGAGTCTCCTGCCTCTGCCTCCCAAGTAGCTGGGATCACAGGCGCCCTCCACAATGTCTGGCTATTTTTTGGTTGTAGCCCTCATTGTTGTTTGGCGGGCCCAAGCTGGATTCAAACCTGCCACCTTAGGTGTATGTGGCTGGCGCCTTAGCCACTTGAGCCACAGGTGCCGAGCCAGAACCACTGTTTTCAAATACATATATACGTGTATGTACATCCTTTAACATTTCTATTTTTGTATGTATTATAATATAGATAACTATCAGTATTATAGTGTATACACACAATACAAAAGTGATTAAATACATGTATAGAAGGATACAAAATCAAAAATGTTCACTGATTCAGGTATATAATTTTAAAAATGTAGAGAACCCTGATCTAGAAAAGAGGTCTCGCTTAGGAATTAGGCAACCTGGGTTCGAGTCCAATGTCTCACTGACTTGATAGTGACTTTCAACTGGTCACCTCAGATGTATGGACTTTGGTTTCCCCTGTGTAAAATAAGAAGGGAATATTCAGTGCGGACAGCAGTGTGGCTAAGGATATGTGCTTTTTCATCATGAATAATAAGGGGATAAAAATGCCTTCTTGCTGTAAGGAATGAGAGAATTTGTCTGAAGTGTTTAGCACACAGTGTTTTCTGTTGATTCTTATTAAATATTTACATTGTTTACACAACTGAGGGTGCCTCTGAAGGCCAAGGAGGCAGAGACCATGATGTGCAGAGGGTGGAGCGCTGTAGGAAGGTATACTGCACGCACACAGAACGTACTAGAAGGTTAGCAGCCATGACACGGTCGCTGACGCTACCCTCATTTTCTGTTCTGAAAGCACATTGGAGAGAAATACGGCTACTTACAGATGGGAAAGAGACGTCAGGTCGTTGAAGGAGCCTTCAGGAACGCTGGAAATGTCGTTGCCATGGAGGGTTCTGAAGCAGAAGGCGGCGGTCAGAAGGGCAGCACCCAGCGAGCGAACTCACCCCACGTTCTCAGCCTCCCTGCTGAGCCCAGCGACCCTTCACTGCACTCAGAGCCCCACCAGACAGCAGCCGGGGCCGCCCCCTTCACTGTGGGTACATACATGTTTCTATGCCTAGTTCAGCAGCGGGGTGGGGGGGAGAGTAGTGATTTTTCAACCAGTGTACTTTAAAAATTTACAAAGATCACTAATTAAATTATTTAACTTATTTATTAATTTATTATATATTTTTGGAGACAGACTCTAACCCAGGCCCTGGGTAGAGTGCCCTGGCATCACAACTCACAGCAACCTCCCACTCTTGGGCTTAAGTGATTCTTTTGCCTCAGCCTCCCAAGTAGCTGGGACTACAGGCACCTGCCACAATGCCTGGCTATCTTTTTGTTGTTGTTGTTGTTATTGCAGTTGTCATTGTTGTTTAGCTGCCCCAGGCTAGGTATGAACCCACTACCCTAGGTGTATATGGCTGGTACTGTAACCACTGTGCTAAGGTGCCAAGCCAACTAAATTATTTTTGAAAGAAGTTCAAAGCACAGTAAGTGTATTCTTTTTTCACTCTATTTTTTGGATCAACATAATTTAAGTGTGCCATAGAAGTTTAACTAGAGGTTCAAGGGTGCCATGAGATAAAAAAGGTTAAGAAACACTGGAGTAGAGGGTTTGGGGAAGAAGAATATGAACTTTTAAACCTTATAGGCCTGGGGTGGAACCAGAAGTCAATCCCTTTTAGCTGTGGATCGCTGGATAAGTTACATACACTTTTCTAGGCTTCTATTTTTGCGTCTGAAAAGTGGTGAGGCATATCTACGCAGTGGGACCATTGGGGTTTCAGAGGGGATATGAAGAACTGGCCTGTGTGCATTTCAACCTTGACTTTGCCATTTCTGAGTTACCCTCTCTGTGCCTCAGTTTCTATTGTAAAATGGGAGTAAAATAAAAAAGTTTGCCACAGAAGGTTGTGGATATATTAAATTCACGCCGAGAGAGCTGGCATTTTCTAAGTGCTAAGTGATTAATCGTTACAAATATCTGTGAAAGGGTCTGAAGGATATCTAGTATAGATCAAGGAATTCAGTAAACTGACTCCCTTCACTAAGAGACTTTAGTGCATTTGGGGACGGGGGTGGTACTCAGCTCCTGAGGAGATTTCCTGGGGCCAGACCCTCATCTTTAAGGGTCACGGGTTGGCATCAGCCACACACCTGCAGAGTCTGGCACCTGCGTGCATCTGACTGCATCTTCCAACAGTGTGTCCAAGGGGCCAGGCAACCCGCGTGGTATTAGTCATGTCTCTCTACACCTCATGGTACAGGCAGTGAGGAGCTCTTCTTACTTGCAAAGTGGTGCTGTACACTAAGCTTTCAATACCTGCCTGGAGGGTAGGTCCATGAAAAAATCGAATGAACACTGCTCTGTGCTCAAGTCACAACAAGAGCAAATCCACAATTCATGGATTACATCCTCCATTAAAGGATTAATCGACTACATAAAAAAATCCCCAAATGGATGATTTGCTTTGGGTCTGGCCTGAGAAATGCAAGGTGAGTGAAATTCATAGAAGCTCAAAGGCTTCTTTAGTGACTGATGGGCACCGTCGCCTGTGCTGCTGATAAAGTGCTCTTAAGGGTAAGGACTAGTGACTTTATTGCAGGCAGAGAGCCCTAGGAAAGCAAAGAGATGATTAGTGTTGACAATGTGAGTGTAAACAGAATAATAACTAATAAATTTGCTGTTTTTATCCTATCAGCTGAAGTTAGCCTATCCTTGGTTCCAGCTAAAATACAGACGTGAACTTCACTTAATAATAGGACAGTGGCTCTCATACGGAGTGAGCTTTAGAAGCTAGTAACTTGCAAATTCCTGAGTCCCTTGAATCAGAGATTCTGATTCAGTGGGTCTGGGGTGGGCCTGGGACTCTGCGTGTCTAACAAGCTCCCAGGTGCTGCTGAGACGCTTTCTCTTGTGACCCGGGGCAAGGACCTCATTTCCTTCCCCCTCCTGGTTGTCTTCTGTCATCATCCTCATCACCATTAGTTCTTTCTCCTCCCCCCTCACAGTTCTGTGGTGAAATTCTCAGGGTGAAAGTCATCCTCAATTCTTAGGCAGCTGGGACAGCAGGATGACGGTAAACTGTCCTTCTAAATGTCCTGGGTGAGAAGGAGCAAGTTATGCTTCCAAACACTTCTATCAGCATCATTTCCTCTCTACTTCATGACGTTACTTATGAATCACACCAGCCCCTGCCTGCTACTGACTTGGACTTCAAGGCTACTTGCTGTTTTGCAAATGCATCAGCACCACTGTTAATCATTTCCCAATGAATCCGCAGCCCCTCGAGAGGCACAAAGCCCTAATTTAACAACACCAAATGATCCAAAGGCAGTTTTGGCACTGTAATACCGCAAGTCACATTCCCGTTTATTGAGAGTGAGGCCACTGAGATTTTCCTAATCTGTAGAGCAGGCATTCTCAAACTACGGCCTGTGGGCCACATGTGGCCTGCCTAGGACATTTATCCCGCCTGCCGGATGTTTTTGCTGCTGCTGCCTGTCCTGCTTAGCAGCAGACTCATCCCGGGGCCCATAGTCCAGCTCTCCAATTGTCTGAGGGGCAGTGAACTGGCCCCCTGTTAAAAAAGTTTGTGGAGCCCTGCTGTAGAGTAACAGGGCTGTAACTTACTAGGGTAACTAAAGAAATCGCCTACATGGAAGGTTCTCACTCTTGGTTAGGCCCTTACGGAAGGACTCTTTTTTTTTTTTTTTTTTTTTGAGACAGAGCCTCAAGCTGTCCCCCTGGGTAGAGTGCCGTGGCATCACAGCTCACAGCAACCTCCAACTCCTGGGCTCAAGCGAGTCTCCTGCCTCCACCTCCCAAGTAACTGGGAGCACAGGTGCCTGCCACAACGCCTGGCCATTTTTTTTGGGTTGCAACCATCATTGTTGTTTGGCGGGCCTGGGCTGGATTCGAACCTGCCACCTTAGGTGTATGTGGCTGGTGCCTTAGCCACTTGAGCCACAGGTGCTGAGCCAGGAAGGACTCTTGTAGGTCAATCAACCATCTTAAAGGATACCAGAGGAGTGGATGAATGAGGCCGCTCTTCTCCCTTACACCTGACGGGGCTGGAGTTGGCAAGCCTCTCAACTACCTGCAGCTCATCTTCTGGTGCTTGGAACTCTTTTCCTCCTCCTGAATCTCAAGAAATATTTATGGCAGACTTGGGAATTTTAGAATGCAGATGAGGCCAGGCCTTGGTGATCTGGGGGTTGAGAACTCTGGCTGTAGAGTCAGCTGCCTTGTTCTGATTCCCCCTGATACTCTCTGCTGTGAGAGCTGAGACAATTGACTTAATCTCTCTGTGCCTCAGTTTTTTCATCTTGGAAATGACAGAATTTTTACTATCTACTTGTAGTACATTTTTGGGGGGTGTGAGGTGCTCAGCATCAATGCTCTTTCCTGTAGCAGTTCTCCCCTTTTCTACCAGCAGTCAACCTTCCTCAGGTCTCAGTTCAAGTGGTTTGGCCTCCTGGGTGGAGGTACGGCCCAGGTCTGGCCAATTTAAGTCACATTGATTGGATTGAGGTTGAGCATGTGGCCTGAAGTGGGGCAAGGAGAGACATTTCTGGGGCTTTCTCTGGAACTACTGAGTCAGAGGCAGTTTCATTCTGTGGGGCTACTAAGCTACTAGAATGTAAACACCCAGCCCCTTAGCACCCTCTGTGCCTTACAGGCAGAGAGAGTGCCTTCGAGCAAAACCTACTCAGGAAGGCGGGGCTGAGAGGTAGAGAGAGACATTTTTGGCAGCATCAGTGAAGCACCTGCAGCGGCCAGAGCCCATTACCTGCCTTTGAATTCTTCAGTTGCCTGACTCGGTAAATTCTTTATATGCATGAGGTGGTTTGAGCTGATCCCTTTACCTAGGAGGAGATTAAATATGCCACTTCATCAACTAGCTTCAAGGATTAAAAGACAGGATGCCAGCAGTTCAGATGGCACAGGACTCAATGCAGTGCCTGCCTGTCAGGAGCCAAATGAGGGACACCTGCCCACGGCAAGCACTCAATCACGTTCACCATGACTACTGTCATCATGGCTCTGACTCCTCTGTGTTCTTAGATGTATTGTGGGAACCATTCCTGTGAAGGAGACAGCCACATAGGGTAGAAGCCTGAGGGTGTGCGGCTTGTATGTCTCAAGCTCAGTGGTGAGTGTCATGACTTGGGTCCAAGACAGGAGAGGGGATGCACTGCATTTTGTCTGAGTGGCCCCTGTGCCTCCCACTCCAGCCCACTCTTTAGTTCTCACCACAGGCCTCTCAGAACAGGGAAGGAAACAGCTCATTTTTAAATAGGCTATGTCCTGTCAGTCTTCAACGAAAGTATGAAATGGCTGGGAATAAAACTGGAGGCTGACGTACCCCTGGGAGGAGGTAGAAGGCAGTAGAAGGAGCACCGGGCTGGGAGCAGAGACGTAAGTTCCAGCCTTGGTTCTGCCCACGCCTCAGGGCTATCTGTCAGCACCTTTCCCCACTCCTACCCCCAGAAGACAGATCTAGCACACCTGTCCCAATGCACCTGCCCTTCCTCAGGGGCTCTGTCCAGGGCGTTTATGGACTCCAATAAATCCCACTGCTTCTGGGTCTCAGTCTTGGATGCAAATGTTAAGAAGAATGATACTGAAAGCAAACTGTTGTGGGTTCAAATCCTAACTTTGCTATTGCTTGTGTCACTTTGGGCAAGTTACTCAATCTTGCTCAGCCCCTGTTTATTTATCTGTGAAACGGGGATAATAGTGGTGTATTCTTCATAGGGTGAAGCAGTCATGCTGTAGTCATGGTTTAATGAATGTCAGTGGTGATTATTAACCTTCCTTTCAGAAAGCCTCTGGCATGGCCAAGACTGGGTTCTGTGCCTCCCACTTGTGATCCTATGGCTCTTGTCTCAGTTACCACCCTGTATTGTCATTGCTTATTTCCTCTTCTAGACCAAGGGCTCTCTGAGGCCGACGATGATGTCTCATTTACTATTTATTCTTTCCCTAAGAGTTAAGCAAAGCAACTAACCCATAGTAGCATTCAGGAAAGAATGAATGAAAGAATAATCTTGAACAAGTCCTAAGCTTTCTGAATCTGCCTCCTTATCTTACAATAAATGAAAAGTTTGGACAGGAAAATTTCCAAGACTCGTTCTTCAATTCTAAATGTAAACTTTTCTTTATTTTTGTTTTGGAGGTGCCAAAGGGCCAAGCCTGGACCATAGTTGGGGAGTCACAAGATGTCACCTTTTGGCTCATAGGAAGAATTTTCTGACGGTGGTCAAAAGTGAAATGGGGTTGTATGGGAAGGGAGTGAGCTTTTCGTCTTGGAGGGTAATAAAGCAGAGGGCAACTGGAGCCCTCTGCAGGGATGTCGTAGGGAGGATTCACGTCATCAGTAGAATAGTGATGAACAGCCTTAAGTGAATAAACAGCGCAATCGTACGTCAGAGACTAAGAGCTAAAAATGGGAGGAGGATGCACGATCATCCTGCTGGCTCCCTCCTGAGCACACATTCAAACTGCCTTATTGGTGCTAACTGATTCCAGGTGGCCCTCCTGGGCCGGGGCTGGGACTGGGGCTAGGGAATGGCATTTGGGACCACAGGCACATAAGGCATGTGACTCGGTCTGGGGCAACAATCAGGGAATGAATGGATCCCTGGAGAAGGGCTAGAATGTCCACAAGAATTTCTCTCCTAGCTATTTTTAGATTAGGAGCGAAGTAGGAAAAGCATCTTATTTTTCACACCATGTTTTATACTCAGTGCTCCCTGATCACCTCCTGTCATGTTCTCTGAGAAGTATTCATATCCACCCCTGAGTGCACGCAGACCCCCCCGCCCCCCCCAGGTGCAAAGCCACACATGCACACGCACACCCCTTCCAAATCACCTTCTGACCTTTGTCTACAGCTAAACCTTGAAGCTCATTTTCCTCCCTGCCCCAGACACCCAGCATCCCTTGGTCTTAGGTCATTTCTGCGATTTTAGTCAATATAATAAAACCCGAAATGAGGAAAGAATATACTAATATTCAAATGCAGTTGCAGATAACACAATTCCTGACCAAAAAACACCCCCCAAAAACAACTCTTATCTTTTTTAAACACCCGGAAGCAGTGGTTCTCAACCTGCCTAATGCTGTGACCCAACACCTCATGTTGTGGTGACCTCCAACCATAAAATTATGTTCATTGCTACTTCATAACTGTAATTTTGCTACTGATATGAATTATAATGTAAATATCTGATATTAGGTGACCCCTGTGAAAGGGTTGTTCGACTCCCAAAGGGGTCTCGACCCACAGGTTGAGAACTGCTACCCTCAAGCAGTGATTTTCAATCAGTGTGCCTTGAAAGGCTCTCAGGTGTGCCATGAACATTTTAAAAGATCATAGGAAAGAAGTTCAAAGCACAGTAAGTATATTCTTTTTTTATTCTTTTTTTGATCAGCATAATTTAATTGTGCCATGAAAGTTTAACCATAGGTTCAAGTGCGTCTTGGGATAAAAAAGGTTGAAAAACACTGCCCTAAATTGTAAACACGTGTTACTATCTTCACTCTCCTTTAACTTTGCCTCCATTTATTACAGAAATTACTTCATAGTAACAGTTAGCTATCGCTGATTTTTTTCATTTGCTTTCTCTCAGTTTTTCTTTATAGGTATAAATGTTTATAAGTTATAATTTTAACATCCATACAAGTTAAGTTTTACTTCTCCATATAATGCCGATGCAGTAAGCACTTGTAATTTTCATCTGTGCTTCTTTTAATCATTGTGCTTCACTGACTGGTTCCATCAGTTTCCTTAAACATTTTCCCCCCGTGGCCCTTGTAGGTAATATTCAAAATTTAGGTTAAAAATAACAGTGTAACAAAGATCTTAATGCATGGCACCTTTCCCTGATTTGGGATTATTCTTTAACCTAAATTCCTAGATGTGCAATTACTGGGAGAAAGGATACAAATATCATAAAAAAATGGAGTCCATAAACATTTTTATTTTTCCTGAATTGGACCTTACGCAGAAAATGGTTGCTCCCCACTGAGGTAGATGGTTGGACTGAGAAACTCTTAAGTTTCCTTTTTATCCACCAGATCCCATAATTCTAAAATGATGATGCTAAAAGCCTACTGATTCTTAATTCGAGAAGCAAAACCCAGCAGGTTGTGTGTGTGTGTTTGTGTGTACTGCTGATGAGCTCCTGAGGGTGAGTGGTGGAGCTGGGTGGGAGATGGACCGACAGAAAGGTCCTGGGGAGTGAGATAGGCAGGCAGACAGAGGGACAGCCAGCCCTTTCTCTCCCTCCTTCAGGCGGAATTGCCCCACTGGAACTCTCATTATGAATGGACATACACAGACTCCTTTAAAATCGGCAGGTCCCTCCCCCTAGCCGCAAACCCATGCATATAACTGTTAGACTGGGAGACAATAGGTTTGGATGGAGGTGGGAGGTGGGAGGTGGAGGGGGGATGGTGAGAAAAAGGCAAGCAGGTCCAGCTTCAGCCCCGGCCAATGAGACAAGCCCATCTCCTGCTGTGTTCAACCGGGGAAACAGGGAAATGGTTCTGCTGATGTTTCCATTCTCAAACTCCCCAGAGAAGGTAGATAATAAATAAGTGACAATAACAGATTGCACGCTGTCAGTGCGGGCACTTCTTTGCCCCCAGAGAATTGATTTTTAATAACAGTGCAGATGACATGTGGCGGGAGTTGTCGCTGACACCGGTGTTTTGTGGGCCTCGATAAATCACATCAGCCCGGAGGCTCTGAAATGGACGAGCTCATTGGGTGCTGTTTGCCGACTGCTGCTGAGCCCTGGGAAGGGTCCCAGGACTCTGAGTCAGGAGGCTGCAGCCTCTTCACTGCTGGACCTTGGCCAGTTACTTCGCCAGTCTGGGCCTCAGTTTCTCTATCTTTAAAATGGGCATGACTGTCTCAACCTCATAGCACCATTGCAAAAGATTAGATGAAGGAATGTTTTTAAAAAGCTCCATAAAATGTGGTGATCACTATTGTACTAATAATACTCCAGAAAGACAAAAAGTTGATAGGTTTGGGGCAAAGAGTCTGGCATTTCTATTCTTATCGGAGTATTATTCAAGGATGATATTCAAAAGATTAATCTTCTTTGGTCAATAAAATAGGCAGAAGATGGAAAGGCCCTAAAATCAGCTGACAACTGGACCCAGGGTTAAGGGTGGTGGTTGGGTACCTTCCTGTGCTAGCAAGCTATGATGTGAGAACAGTAATAATAAATGAATTTTTTTTAATTAAAAACTTTTTAAAAGATAGGGTCTTGATTTGTTGCCCAGGTTGGAGTACAGTGGTGCAATCATAGCTCACTGCAACCTCCAACTCCTGGCCTCAAGCAATCCACCTACCTCTGCCACCCATAGTACTGGGATTATAGGCAAGAGCCATTCCACCCACTGACAAATGAATATTTGCTAAGTGTTTATAATGCCAAAGCTGTGCTAAGTGCTTTACGTACAGTATCTCATTTAATCCTCATAAGACTCTGCCAGGCAATTACCATAATTATCTGATTTTACGGATGAGAACACACTTAGCTATCCATGTGTAAGACTGGGCCCTGCAGGTGACAAGGGTGTGCCGGGTATGAAGGCTGCAGACTGCACAGGGCTGCTCAGCCATGCAGGAACGCACAGGCCAGGCCCTGGGATGGCCAGGAGTCTCAATTTTCCAAAAGTGTGTGCACATTAGGATTTGTATAAAAAAGCCTCTTGGTACTTAAATCTTGACAGCTTATTAAAAATGTGGTTATTTTAAAAGACACTCTAAGAGTCAGCTACAAAATTGCTAACTAGTAGCAGTCTGTGAGCGGGACCTGGCCCCTAGGCTTCAGCTGGTGATCTCTGGTGTACACACTCTGCTTCCTAACAGAGGTTCACAGTGTTCATCGCCTCTCGGAAGCCTGAGGTAGCAACTGTATGCAGAATGATCATCAAAATGTTGCCAGGGGACACACACTGTGCTCAATACCAGAGAGCGGAATATATTTTCATACCCCAATCTTCGCAAAGGAGGGGCTCCTGATCCCATTTATATATAAAAAGTGGGAACTCAGAGGGGTTGGGTGATTTGCTCAAGGTTTTGTCCTTGGCGAGAAGTGAGCTGCACCCTAGGAATGGTTGAGTCTCGAGAGCAGCTCTCTCTACTTCACTGAGCAAATAAGGGTGCTGGGTGGAGGGGTGTGTTAAGGGGTGGAGCAGGCTTTGAGCAGAGGAGCATGGGGGAGGGGAGCGGCCCATCTACTTCCTGCTTGATCTCAGTACCATGTCAGTCAAACCCAGCACAGGGGGGTACTCACAGCACTCGGAGAGACCGCAGCCCGTTGAAGGCGTGGATGGGGATGCATCTCAGCCGGTTGTAGCTCAGGATCCTGTGGAAGAGCGGGCACATGCCCTGTTGACTTTTCCTATTCTCAGATAGTCACGGGAGCCCTGCTCACATTGTGAACCCGAAACAGTGAATGGTCCCTCAATATACTGACAAAAGTATCCTGAGAACTAAGTGCAGGGAAACCTCCACGGCCCACGGAGATGCTCACTGGCTTCACTGCCCCAATGTTCTTCCACGTTCCACAGCAGCCTGACTCTACCCAGCTTGTCCATCGCCTCCCTCCACTGTCACGTGGTGAGTGCTCAAAATGTGCAAAGCTAATGGGAAATAAATGGGTCTGAGCAAAATGTAATTTGGAGGGAAACTCTCCACTGGGAAAGAAAATTTACACATCATAGAAGGTATTCCAACGAGAGCCTTCCACAGAGGTGGCTAGGTTCTAGTTCCTCTCTAACTACATGACGGTGGAGTCCTGTCTTACTTTATTTTCCTTCCAATGACTAAGATCTACTCTAAGCTAGGGCAACCGTGGCCCTGAGGATCACTAGAGCAGAGAACTCTGTCTGGGGGGACAGAAAGAGTGGCCATCTTCGGCTAGCCCAGTGGGTATGGTAAACATGTACTCACAGGGTGGAGAGGTGAGACATATTACTGAAGGTGTAATTGGTCAGCACACTGATGCTGTTGTTGCTCAGGTCACTAGGAAAAGTGAAACAGAAAGGGCCTGCTTTACTCTCAATCTGTAGGAGGCCACTCCCAAGCATCACACATGCCTACAATTCATCCTTCTATCCATCCACCCAACCACCCATTCATCCATTCACTTACCCATCTATCCATCCACACACTTATGTATTTATCTACCCACCTGCTCACCTGCACACTTGTCTACCCATGTGTCTCTCCACCCATCTACTTGCCCACCAACCCATGCATTCATCCATCCACACACTCATCTATCTACTCAAACATCCATTTATCTTTCCACCCACCCACTCATGCACCCACCTGTCCACACACTCATCCATTCATCCATTCACTCACCCATCTATCAATCTAAGCACTTACCTATTTATCTGCTCATCTACTCACCTGCACACTTGCCCACCCATCTGTCTATCACCCACCTACCCATGCATCTATCCATCCACACACTCATCTATCTACTCAAACATCTATCTGTCCATCTACCCACCCATGTACCCACCCACCTATCCATACACTCATCCATTCATCCATCCATCTACTCACCCACTCATTCATTCACTCACCTGTCTACAAACTACTCACGCATCTATTTGTCCCACTCACTCACCTACCCATTTGTCCACCCACTTACCTATCAAACAGCCCATCCATCCATCTATTCTTTCATCCACTTATTTACCGAAATATTCATTTTTTCATTTAAACATTTATTCAATCATTCAAGCAATGGTCATTCATTCCTCCATCCCTCCGTGAATTTATTCAGTTAATCATTCAACTACATTCACCCATTCTACCACTTCATTATACCAACAAAACATAATGTAGATAATAATTTTTCCTTATTTTAGAACTTCTCCACAATTAATTATTTTTGCTGTCCCTCATCCCTTCTTCTCTTCTGAGATTCATTTATTCCATGTTATCAGATCTCTCTTAGGAGGAATGAGGCTAGTGGAGGTGCTGTCCAACTACAATCTCAGGCTTCTTCTTAAAGACAAATAACCAGAGCAGAGGCAACATTAGCATTAGAATCATCTGGGGGAGCTTTTAAATCCTCTGATGCCTGGATTCCACGCCCAGATGTTCTCACCCAGTTGGTTCAGTGTGAGCCTGAACATTAGTTTTTTTTTAATAATTGCTCAGGTGATTCCTCTAATCAGGTGATGTTCAGAGCCATTTCTCTAGAGCAGTGGTTCTCAACTATGGCCACTTTTGCTCTCTGAATGGCATTTGGAAATGTCTGGAGACATTTTTGGTTGTCGTGCTGGTGGGGAGAGTTCCTGGCATCTGTTGGGGTAGAGTCTGGGGATGTCCCTGACAGCCCCTCACAACCAGGAATTATCTCCCCAAATGTCCACAGTTCTGAGGTTGAGAGCTCCTCATCTAGAGGCTGGTTTTGAGACTATCTAGAAGTCCAGGCCAGAGACAGGTGGCTTTCTCTCCCCTCTTTCAGTGGGCTCTCCATTTTCCCCAAAGCTCTTCATTCTGAAAGAGCTTTCACTTTCCTCCCGTGAGCTAGCTCCCTGCCGCCTAAGCAGACATGGACATCTTTCAATTACCACTTGCCCAAGGAATTGTTTTGCACTGTCCTGGGTCCCATCATGGCAGGGCGTTCAGGCTGTTTAGGGACAAAGCCTGTAGGCCACCTTGCTTCCTGGGTGATGCCCATGCCCAGCAACCCTCCTCTATATTTATTTTCCTGGGTCTCGGCAGATTTGGAGCTACTAGCCAGTACAAGTGCCACCCGAAGGATCCTCACTTCAAACAACCTACCCGGGACATTTTCTGGGGAATTAAACAAGTTGGAAGAAAAAACTGCTGTTTATGTTTTGGGCAGACCTAAGTGTGGCCACAGCTTGCAAGCAGCTGGAAACTGAGAGGTGCAGGGACCAAGTTTGGATCTCAGCAGGCAGGCAGGAGGGGGGTTCAGATGGCCTGTGATGCCAGGCTCTGAGCACTTCTGCACATAGGTCTCCCTGGGTAAGACCCAGCACACCGGGCTGGTCTGTTCCTGCCATCTGCCTCTCCCTTCTCCGCTTAGGGAGAAAGGTGTGGAGATGCTTCCCCAGCCTGAAGAACCATTCTCTTACCCTCCTTTTCCGTTTCTACCCTAGGAGAGAAAAACAAATGTGCCACCCAGCCCCAGGCCCCTTACATGAGTGTCAGGTGTCGGAGGGCGGACAGCTCTCTGGGCACAGCTGTTAGGTGGTTTCCTTCCAGGTACCTGAAGAGGAAGTGCAGAGTGTCAACACTTGGGAGAAACACTGCAAAATGGTCACTCTCAGAGAAGGTCCCTGACTTTCCAGGTTAGCTGGGTTCCTCCCTTTAAAGCACACACTACCTTGGTCATTTCATCTTTATTTGTGTGATTATTCAAATGGTGACAGTTTTCTTCACTAGATCAGTTAAGTTCCATGATGACAGGGTTCTTGTCTAACAATGCCCACTGTTGGATCCCCCAAGCCTGTTTACAGAGCTGATACCTAGCAGGTGCTCAATAAACATTTGTTTAATAAATAGAGCACTCTCCTTATGCTCGGCCCTCACAATATTCTTCTGTGGCAGAATTCTGCTTCAGGAAGCAGAAGTTTAGAGATGTCAAAATACTAGTGCAGGGTCACACAGCAAAGGACTTCAACCCAAGTCTCCCTGCTGTGCTCTTACCACAACTTCAAACTGCTTCTGCTTAGCTAGCAGAGGATGGGGGGAGAACTGAGTCACAATTCATCTTAAGAACACAATTCAGCATTGACTATCTCTGAGGTGCATTTGGAAGCTGAGGAAATAGGGGCCCATCTCTAGTACCTGGAGCACTGTGCTATGCTACCCTGCTGGAGGACCAGCTGGTAGGAGGGGACAGGGGTTCAGAATGAGGATGCACCAAACAGAGGGGTACTCCTCCTTGACAGGCAAAGCCTGAGCCTAGTTCTACTGACCTCTCTATCTAGGGTGAGGCCACCTCCTTGAAGACTAGAGTGTGGTTAAGACAAGAGGAGAAAGTCTCACTGTAATTATGGATTCATGTATTACAAAGGTTATTACTATTGACATAGGCCAATTCATTCACTCCCACCCTTGTTGTAAATCCCATTCCCTAGGCTTCCTGTTGCTTTCAGGACAAAATGGCAAAACCTTACAGTTTACAAAACCTGCTTTGATCTCCTGGGTGTTTCCCTTGACTTAAAGCTCCCCTAGTGTCCTCTCTCCTAATCGTCAACACACAGTCACTGCTGTTCATTGTCCCGTGCCTGCCTTAAGCTCCACAAAGGGCAGACGGAGGCCTATGTTTTGCTAGCCTGGTGCTTCTCAAACTTCAACTACCTAGGATTCTGCGAATCACCTAGGGACTTACTAATGATCAGATTCTGTTCTGCGACAGGCCAACAGCCATCGCTTATCCTCTCCTACACTGCTCATCTTCTCACTCCTGTTTGTCTGCTACAACTACTTAACAAACCTGAGCTAAGTACGCAAACAGATCAAAGCCCCCAGGCTCCAAATCTTCTTGCTGAGATATGGTGCAGATGGCCTTGTGACAAGCACATCTGAAGACAGAGCATGGGTTGGGCTTGCTGTGGGCCTGGAGGCAAGGTACTGAACCTCACAGGCAACTCAGTGATGAGGACAATTCTAAAACCCAAACAAAACTCACAGCATGATCTGGGGGGTAGTCCCAATGCTTTGGGAGAAGCTCTGGACTGCTGTCTCATTTACTTCTCTGGAGCTGGGCTGATGGGTATTGTGCTGAGTTCGGGAGTTGGGATTTAGACTCAGAGCTGTCAGTTCTGGAGGCCGAGAAGTCAACGTGTGCTGTTTGACCTCTGCACTTCGAGCTTATTTTCACCCCCAGCCATTGCAGTCTTGAGATATACCATACTCCACCATTTATTCTCTCTCTGTCCCTCACTAGGAAGTAAACTCCAGGCTCAGCCCCTGTAGCACAGTGGTTACAGAGCCGGCCACACACACCAAGGCTGGCGGGTTCAAATCCAGCCTGGGCCAGTTAAACAATGACAACTGCAATAAAAAATAGCCAGGCATTGTGGTGGGCACCTGTAGTCACAGCCACTTGGGAGGCTGAGGCAAGAGAATTGCTTGAGCCCAAGAGTTTGAGGTTGCTGTGAGCTGTGACACCACAGCACGCTACTGAGGGTGATATGGTAAGACTCTGTCTCCAAAAAAAAAGAAAAAAAAAAAGAAGTAAACTCCACGAGGGCAGGGATTTTTGCCACTTTTGTTTCCTGCTGTATCTGTAGCACACAGCAGAGGGCTCAGCTCACAGCAGAGCTCCACTACTGTTGAATGAATGCATGCAGAGAAGGGTTGTTCATAGGACTCTGGATTAAAAAAACAAAAACTTACAGTGGTTTCAAGGAATGCCTTTTGCCTGGTCCAGGCATACCTGTAGGACAAGCCATGTTGTATAAATGCTCATGTTTGCTGACCAGAGGAGTACAAGCACCAGTGACCACTGGGATTCAGACATGTCCACAGCATCTGTGTCTAAGGCAGGGAGGCTCAGGGCACAGCTGCTTCTAGATCTCCTGGGCCCTCGGTGCCCATTCTGGGTTCCAGGCTGGCTCTGATCAGTACTGCACTAATACCAGTTGAATTAGCTTCCCTGCCTGCCTAAGACCATCTGTAGTTTCCATTAACTTTTTAAAGAAGGGTGACCCAATGCCGACTCCTGCCCACATTCAACAAGGCCTGCTGTGGTCTGTCTTCTATCAGCCAAAGGTTTTCCAGAGAAACAGAATCAACAGGACATACATAGACAACAGGGGAGGAAGATTATTTATTCGGAGGAATTAGCTCATGCAACTACAGGGCTGGCAAGTGTGAAATTTATAGGGCAGGCCAGCAAGCTGGAAACTCAAGCAGTATTTCTGTTACTGTCTTGAGGCAGAATTCCTTTTTCTCTGGGACACCTCAGTTTTTGGCACTTAAGGCCCTTACCTGCTTAAAAGAGGCCCACCTCCACATTAGGGATAGAAATCTCCTTTATTTAATATGTCAACCGAGTGCAGATGTTAAATGCATCTACAGAGACCTTCACGGCAACATCTATACCAAGCAAGTGTTCGACCAAACAACTGGGTGCCACAGACAAGCTGACATAGGAAAGTGACCACCACAGCCCCGCGCCCTATCTTTGTTCTTGCATCAGACTCCCTCGGCCTCTGTTCCCACTCCACTGGCTTAACCTTCTTCCCAAGCCCCAGTCCCCTCTGTGGGAGCCAGTTCTCTCTCCTTGCCTGGTTAAATCCTGCAGATGCTCACATCTTAGCTCCAGCATCTTCCCTGATCTCACACCTATCGGTGACACTGCAGCTTCCGAAAGCTTTGGGTGTGTTTTCTTCACAGCATTTAACCCCATGGTGGTATCTTCAGTGTGGCTCTGTGATTATTGACGGCAGACCTGTCTGTTTGCACACCACAGCATTTCTGGGCACTGCCTGGCAACAGTAGATGCTCAGGAAACAGCATCTATATGATGAAAACCCCAGAATTCCCCAGGAGAGCTGCGCTGGGCACCACAGAGCCGGGTTGAAGTTGTTTCAGCGCAGAAAGTCCCCGGCGACCGGGCGTTGCAGCTCAGAAGACTCAGAATCAAAAGGTTTCACTTCAGAAATGCAGATGTGGTTGTGTGGGAGAGTGCTTTATAGGAAGCCCTTCATGAAAAGTCTGAACTCCAAAGCTGCCTGCAGCCTGCAGCCCAGACCCCCAGAGGGACCTTTTCAGGAGGCTCCCCTCTTGCCCCACAGCCTCAGAACTGCCAGAGCATTTCTAGCAGGTCACCCTTCGCATTGACCTGCATTTAAATGCTGTTTCCTTCCCAGGGCGGGCACACCAGGACACACCTGCCTCGCATGCAAATCCACACAGCTCTGCTCTGTGAGTGGGTGTCCTGCCTTCGTGCTTGGAGCTCTGCAGTACTGACAGGCATCACACAAAGGACTCAGACCAGCTGAATGATGAAGGGGAAGGAGGGCAGCTACCTTCCTGGAGACCCCACTCTGGGCCAGGTTTTTCACCAGAGACCAGGAATGGTGTGGGGACAGCTCAGGAGTCAGGCAGCTGAGGCTCACCTCCTGGCCCCATTATCTAGTAGCTGTGTGACCTTGGGCAAGGCACTTAACTTCTTTGAGCTTGCATTTCCTTATCTGTACAATGGGGCTTTATATTAATCATCAACTTGATGTGATTATGAGGATTAAATGACAGTCTCTGTGAACAGCACTTGGGGGAGCCCTGGGCACCCTAGCATCCAGCAGATTTGGAACATATATACACATACACGTACACAGACCTCACACACACATACACATCTTTTGAAAGGTAATTTTGATCCCTTTGCCGTTCATTTTCTAGTTTTCTTCCAGAGTCATATTTCTAAAATGAGAATCAGATCATGACACTTTCCTGCTTAAAATTCTTCCTTAGCTCCTGTGTTCCTCTTGGGGTAGAGTCAGCCCTTGCCGTGGCTCACAAGAAGGTAACACATCCCTCCTCAAGCTCTTAGCACACATCACCCTCTTTCTTATGCTATTTGCTCCATCTCACGGCCTTCTTGACTTCTTGAATTTAAGATCCTTCCACCATGAGATCTTCCCAGAACGTGTTCTTTTCACTCCTTTTTCTCCTCCAATTTCCTGGGAAATCCTACACTTCTCTCTCCCTGTGTGGAAGGTCTAATTTACTGGTTAGTGTTCTTACCGTGTTTCTCCCCCATTCTGAATTTCTGAGAAGAGGGACCTTGTCTGCCATGTCACTGCTGTCCTGCTAGCTCCTGTGTCACTCAGCAGCACTGGCATGAGTGAAGAGAGATGTCTCGGCTCTCTGCCTATGCCCTTCCCCACCAGGCTCTCCCACAGACGGCTGTGCCTGCCTCTGTCCTGCTGAGAAGAGTCCTCTACCAATGCCATCTTCTGAGGTCTCCTCTGGGCCAGGGCCTGTGCTGGGACTAGTCAGTACTGCTGTGCCCAGAGCTGGCACACTCTCCAAAGATGGGATCGACCACTCCAGCTGGCTGGGGGTACAATTCTGCCTTTCTCCCTGGGCCAAGGAAAGGCAAGGATGTGGTCAGTGCTGGGTAGTTTTTCTAGTAAGTGTTCCGGGGAGCCTGTTCAGCATGAGAGCATGGACGGCAGTAGCTGGCCTTCCTAGAGCAGGCTCAGCTATCAGGATGGACCCAGCCAGAACCACTGGCAGGTACCTATAACA